ACTGCGCCACCCAGGCGCCCCCCAGCTAGCTTTTTTTAAGTTTAGTTCTCTTTCTTGAGATACGTACGCATCTCTCAGTAGGAGAGTGAGGTACACAGGCCTTTGGCTTAATTCTCTTGCTCCCATTTAGTAACTAGTCCACTTGATTTATTTTTCCAGACTTTAAACACATCTTTCCTTCTTCAAGTTCTGTTCCCCACTCATCTGGCTGCAGTGCCCACTCTTGTTCCAGTGCTGGATCCTGGACTCTTGTCTCCACGTATTCATGTTGTCCTGTTGCCTGCTGTCATCTGATTATACCCAGATCTGAAATTAGCCCTTTGTTTCTCTTAGACTCTGATTTGTTTGTTTGTTTGTTTGTTTGTTTGTTTGAAGTAGGCTCCATACCCCATGTGGGGCTTGAACTCACGGCCCTTGAGATCAAGAGTCAGATACTCTACCAACTGAGCCAGCCAGGTGTCCCCGTTCTTGTGCTTTTTTAAATTGCTTCTTGCTAGGAAGGGTTCAGTAAATATTTTTGGTAGGATGGTTTTTAATTATAGGAATGCATTTGTAATGGTTCAAGTCCTGAGAATGAATGGGGGGATTATTGCTATCTTGTTAGGTGAAAGATATGAAACAAATTATTTTTATGGCCAGCAAAACAACTAAGATTATTTTGAATTCTTCAAATCCTCGTATTTTGAGATGATTAAAATGTTAACATGTATTTAAGCACAAGTGGGGAGGTAGGTGTTGGTATTCTGAGATTTTGAACATTTTTATATTTCAAACTCTTCTTTTTCAGGTGTCCTTCTTCACGTCATTATGGAATCACCCATTCTTCACCATTAGCTGTATCACTCTGATAGGCTTGTTTTTTGCTGGAATACACAAGCGGGTCGTTGCGCCGTCAATGTATCCTTTGCAGAATTGAGTTTTAGTCGCAGCTTAAAGCACCTTCTTGATCATCTAGGGGTTGTTAAAAGCTTATTCCTCATATGATCAATTTTCCTTTGACCACAGTTTTTCAGTATAGCTGCTCGATGTCGAACTGTACTAGCAGAATACAACATGTCTTGTGACGATGTGAGTATTGTTTATGTTAAAAAATTACAGATCTGCGTGAGAGGACTGAACGGTTTTGGCTTAAGTAAAACAGACATTAATATAGATTGTCAGTCGGCAAGGGTTAATGGTGGGAATATTCTTTATAGCACTGATCCTAAGATACACATTTACGTCTCTGAAATTGAGATGCGTCTAATAATTTGTGGTGTTGTACAGTTTAGTCTTTTCTTGTAAGTAAGCTCTGTGCCAGTGTGGGGTTTGAACTCACAACCCTGAAATCAAGAGTCACAGGCTCTACTGACTGAGCCTGCCAGGCACCCCCAGTTTAATCTTTATTAATGACATCGCTTTTTAGCCTTTTGGCTAAGATCAAGTGTAATCTTTCTTAATGACATAAAATCACCATGTAGTGTCTTATAATTGAAGTCATCATAGGTCTAATATAGAGTGGTCACTATGGGCCAAAACTAGTTTGGTGGGTGTAGGTTTTGTAAACTAATGGTATTCTGTATGTAGGATTTTAAATTAGATCTCAGATCAACAGACTGCAGACATACAAGCCAACTGTGTTTCTAAAAGTTGATCAGGTTTTGACGTATTAAGAGAAGAGTATCTCAGGTGTCCGAATGGCTCATTCAGTAGAGCACTCGACTCTTCATCTCAGGATGGTGAGTTCAAACCCCACATTGGGGGTGGAGCCTAGTTAAAATTAAAAGATAAGAAATCTCATGGTTTTGATTTGCTTATTTATTTATTAAGGTGTTTTTTTCCTTCAAATCAAAAAATTATTGGGGTGCTTTGGGTGGCTCAGTCAGTTAAACATCTGACTTCGGCTCAGGTTATGATCTCAAAGCTCATGAATTTGAGCCCCACGTTGGGCTCTGTGCTGCTAGCTCAAAGCCTGGAGCCTGCTTCGAATTCTTGGTCTCCCTCTCTTCTGCCCCTCCCCTGTTCACACTCTGTTTCTCTCTCCTTCAAAAATAAATAAACATTAAAAAAAATGTTTTTTAATGTATTAAGTAATACCTCGTATAAAAAATTAGAATAAAGAGGAAAAAAACATACTAGGAGCAGGAAGCCCACTGCTATGAGTGAAGAGAATAAAGACTAAACACTTTGATTTTTT